GGCTGCATATGGTGTAAATACAAGAAAACGCAAGAGACGAGAAGTCATTGATATCCTGACTGAAATAAACCTGATGAGCAGGAGACTTGACGAAGGCGGGATTAGCAAATACTTTGCACACTGCCTAAATAAACTCGGACAAGATCAAGGGAACAGCAATAACAGCAAAAAGAAGACAGAATAAAGGTAATATTTTTCATTTTAAGATTGAAATTACAAGCAGACGGAAACAAAGATAAGGCGTCTACACGGAGCCTATTGAAATCAAATAGAAACATCGCACCTGAGAGTCAGCACACAATAGAAAGTCATATACTTGCTTTAGGGGTAGAAGATTGAGAGGAACGGTGATATTCATTTTTAGTTAGATTTAGTAGATAAATTTTTAATAGATGTGTTCTATGAAGTAAAGTATTGGCCGCAAAATTTATCCGTTTCGCATGCCGCACAGCGCTAAAAGGATTCTGCGGCGTCAAGTTAGGTTGGCATGTCAATTGAGAATCCAGACTATAGGGGCTTGCTCAGTGAGGGTGGTGTATACATTCTACCAAAGGCTTGTGGCACAGTAGAACGGATATGGTGGCAGAGATGGCGTGAACTCACTGGAACAAGCAGACAAAGGAAGGATCCTGCAGAGCAATTGGGGACTGATATGACCCGAAGGGAGAGCATTGCAGATTGAACCGCAGCCTTCGATCAACACTTCTGCCCCAGTGGGAGGGATGTGGACACCAGCTGGGATTGTGAATAGGTTTAAAATAGGTTTAGATAAACAAGTAAGAAATCGTGATATTGAACTGGTGATACGAAGATATAGGATAGGTGAATAGCCCAGGACAGGAGAGATATCACAACTATTTATCAGACAATTGGTCAAAGGATCGACTTCACTTGTCTCTTTGACGAGTTGTAGTGTGGTGCCTAGAATGGAAAATATCATTTACAATTTCGACTACGATACCGGCGAGACATCTGGGAACGTATCAAATCCATGGTCTGGTCCAGGTGCGTTCCTCTAGGTCTTCCTGTGGCGACACACTCTTAGGCGACATTAGCAGATCGACTATATGAATTGAGGTTGAGAGAAAGAGATGCGGTACTAGAAGGTAGAAAAATAAAAAAAAATAGAGGCGGGGAATTATGCCACAACGGTTGAATATAAACTTGATAAAGTGGATTGCCTTTATTTTTAATTTTGCTAAATTGTATCTCTGTGGTTGCGAAGACGCTTCTCACTGACGACACCGACTTCAAAGCCAGTTGAACGTTTGGCAATGTTTTCAGGCAATGGTCCGCTGCTCGGAATCACGAATTCTATGGCAGAGGGCATAAAACTAGATACGTTCCACATGCTATCCCTGACCCTCCGATGAAGTAGCAAAAATAATGTGTAACCAACACTATATATTATTTTATTGAGTAACATTACTCGTGTTATACTCACTTTCCTGCTTGTATTTGCTGCTGTTTAGTTAAGCAATTTTGTGTTTTTTTTTACTTTGTGACTAAATAGTTATAGACATTCGTCTATTTAAGGTTCTAGTGTATGTACTCTTACCTATGAAATACATGTATTAATATCAAGTTACACTAAATTTATTCTTAATTACTTTCTAATTAATCTTTTTCCTCTCATTTTTAAGCCATAATTTTTCTCTTAGTCTTTATTTTCATAAATAAGGCTTTTTGTGATTTAAGTCTTAATTTATATATTCATTTTTTTTATGGTGGCACCTTTTTTCACGCCAACTTTCAGGACGGAGACGACGATGACGATGATGATGATGATGACGGAGTTTATGATTGGGAAACTCCACTAGAAACTTTTGAAACCGATATCGATAAACAGGATAACGAAATGGATGAGTTTATTACATTCTATCGCGTGATGACGCAACTAGAACAGAATGACTCTGTTTGGTATCAACAATTGGTATCTGGCCTCACAGAAGAACAGCAGGCGGAACTGAAGGAAATTGTCGACACAGCGATTAAGTGCATGCAGCAGAAGGGTCAGTCTATATTTCTCATCACTTGTCTTGAAGAGCTAGATTTCTATAAAGCGCTGAATTATTTAATTAATTTGAAAGTTTCAATAAGCTTGAAAAGTTTGTTATAATGAAATAGTAAATTGTCTACATCACAAATCTGATGGAGACCAATCTGAAGTTGCTATTATTTATATTACTATGTAGGGTCCTTATAATTTTGCTTTGAACTGCCGCCTTCCATGCTATAGACATCTTCAGAGACTTTGACGTTTTCATATAACCGAAACAGTTCCTGATAAATCTCTTAACATTCTTTTTGTTCAGGCGATGTTTGCCAGGTTATAATAATGCTCTAATCCTCATTTTTATTAATGTCTTTATATTATTTTCGAAATCCTACTTAGAAAAAAGATGATTAATTTGTCGATTACTATATAAAGTATAACTTTGCTCTACGGAAATGCATACTGGGAAAGGGCTCTGTCTTGTGACCCAAGGACACACGTGGCATTGTGGCATAATGTTTAATACGTCTAAATTACACACTGCACTACCACAAGCCAGGTTCGAATCCAGCCGGGGGTGTTGATGAGATCTAGGCGACACCAGAACTCTAGTCCATCCTGGATGCGAATGCCTTTTGGGAAGTAAGGCTATGTAAAATTTAGGGGGTAAACTTCAAATAACAGACATTTATCACCTTAAATGTAATAGGGTGAGCATAGTTACTATTTCAGATTTTCTCATAACCACAGCTTACT